TCTTCCCTCTCAGGAAAGCATCTTTGTTTTTCTCTCCTAAACTCTAAGGGTCCACACAAGACTTGCAACCAGGGCAACACTGGGCTACGGCATATTGTCCAGAGCTGAACCTGACTCCAAGACCCCCTTTCCTCTAACTTTTCAGTGAGCTAACAGCAGCCCCACCATGGCTCACAGCATTTCTAGAGAGCCAAAGCAGAGCACTGCCTAGGCTCTCTTTTGTTGCTCCTTTTTTTTTATTCCTCACTCGAGGATACTTTTCTATTTATCATCATTTAGAGTGGGAGGGAGGGAGAGAGACATGGATGTGATAGAGCCACATCAACTGGTTGCCTACCGCACAACCCGACCAGGGCTAGAGTGAACTGAAACCAAGGCATGTGCCCTTAGCTGGAATTGAACCCAGGAGTCATTGGTCGGCAGGTTAACGCTCTAACCGCTGAGCAAAACCGGCTAGAGCTTATCGCTTCTTCTATCCTACATTTATCAGTGAGCTAAAAGCAGCCCCACCTTGGCTCGTTTCTTTCACTGTGACTTTTACTTCTCAGTGAGTTCACACAGCCCACTGTGACCCACTTCTTCAATATGTTTCTAGACAGCCAAAGCAGAGCACCACCTAGGCTCTCTCCTGTTGCTTCTTCTACCCTAAGCCCTTAGCGCGCCCTTTGTTTCACTGTCCCAGCTTTAATAAACAGACTCTTAAAATAAAATTTAAATAGGAAAGAAAGAGCATAGGGCAGGGAAGCAGGACACTGGGTTCCAGCCCCAGCAGGCCACTCCCTGGCTGTGTGTACTGAGGTTGGACCCCTCCCCTCCAGTACAATGAGGAATGGGGGCCAAGGGACTGTGTAGTCCCATCCTGGTATCCTATGGCTCCAAGATACTGCAGTTTGAGTCCAATTCCACCTGGTTCATCAGGTGAAGGCTCCCATACTTGCTCAGAGTTGGGGAGGAATTACAACAGACAGGAATCACTCCTGCCACCATTAGAAAGCCGGATAGCTATGGACGGTATTTCTCAATCTCAGCCAGCTGAACCAGAAGGCATGTCTGTGTGTATGTCAATAAATATTTTCCCCAGAAAGCAATAGGACAAAACTGGTTTAAAGAAGTAGTTACCTAACCTCTCAAAGCTTAAAGATCTGGCCACAAGGAAGGCTCTTTGTGCCTCCCCTAATCCCTAGGATGAGGCTCCACCCCAAGCTGGAAGGTGATGAGGTTCCAAGACACAACCCAAAGCGGGGGAGAGCCCTTTCCCAAGCAGAGGCCAGATGTCCTCAAAGTACACACTGTCCTGGGCTTGTGTCCACATATGTGCACATGAGGGAAGATGGAGGGGAGGGGGGCAGCATGCTGGTAGAGAAACACCTGAGAGCCAAGTGCTCTGCAGAGACCCAGCAAATGCTTGTCTTCCCAAGGGTACAAACTGAGGCAAAGGCTCGGCTGACAGCCCCTACAACAGCCAGGGAAATTGGCTCATGAACAAGTGGCTGGCTCCCAGGGCCCTGGCTACCTGTGGCTGCTATTTGCTGGCCCCGGTGCCTGTGACTCTCTGGTGCCCACCTGTAGATCAGAGTCTTCCTCATAGCCCAGCTGAGCAAGAGGGACCTCTGGGGTTCACCACCTCCCCCTGCCCCCATGTACTCTTGAGGGGACCATACCAACACTTCTGATAGGGTAAGGGCACATAATAGGAATAGGACCACAGTTGTTGAATAATTATTCCCCTTACTAACTATAGATAAGAGGTTTTCTTACAGACCCTGGGAAACTGGAGGATGTGTTGCAAGAAGAAAAATAGGACTGTAAAAATATCAAAAGCCAAAGATCTGTAAGAAAACCTTTTATCTATAGTAAATAAGGTGAATAATCATTCAACAGCTGTGGTCCTATTCCTAATATATGCCCTTCCCTTATAAGTCCCAGGTCCCAGTTGAGTCCTCAGGTTAGCTCTAACCAATCCAACCTGAGGTACTGCCCACTCCTTACCCAACCCCTCTCTGGGTTGGCAGTGCCAGCACCGTCAAGTCACATTAGCTGCCACCAACTCTCAGATAACAATGCAAGGTCACTGCTCTTCCCAAGGCAAACACCCAGAAAGGAAGGAAAGGGATCCTTACCACCACAGTTCCATAGTTCAGAGGAGTGGATGCTACACAGAGGACACCACCTACAGGCCTGATCACCCTGGGAGAACTCCCTGGGTATCTTGAAGGAATCCTCAAGAAAAGCCCACCTCCCCACCGCAGCACTCACTCAGGAGCCTCACAATAGCTCATGGGGGTGCCTGGCGCAGGGCCTACTATGGCTCCAAATACTGTACCCTACCCTATGTTACAAAGATAGTGTAGACAAAGACAGGATTCAAACCAATCTATCTGAAGTCAATCCCAAGGTTCTAACAACCCATGACAGATCAAACAGTGACCTGTCAACAGCCCAGCCTGGCTCCCCCATGGAAGGGCATGCCCATTACCCATCATCTACCAGCAGGGAGGGATCGGAGCATCTGGTCCAGACCCCTGGACACCAGAAAGTAGAGCCAAGTTGAGGAAAGGAACTGCAAGTAGTGAAAAGACCACAGCTCTAAACCCCACGGATGCTTTCTCCCACCAACCTCAAAACCACCCCGCAAGGGCTTCGGTAGACACCTGCCCAGCTGAACAGATGCCCCCCCCCCCACACACACACACACACACTCCCAGGAAGACTTTCAGCTTCTCAAGGTTCCCTCTCAGCCAGGAACTTCCCCTCTGAGAGCTGTACCCAATCACTCAAACCTAGGGCCTCAATTAAAATGAAGAAAAACCCTCCACCTTCACTTTCTGGGGCTGCCTCAACAAGCCGACTAAATACCATGGTCCCATGCCTGTCACACAAAGGCAGCCAAGTTAGAGAAAACCTGGGGCCTTTCTCCTCACCCTCCAAAATATTCTCTCTCAGAAAGTCCCTTCAAGCCACCAATTCAAAGTTAACTCAGAGACACCAGTAACTGGTCACCAATTACTAGCAACACCATTACAAAACAAAGCAGAGATGAGTCACCACAGCCTCTCATGCTTCATTGAGAAGACCCTATACCTCAAACATCAATCTAATGAACTTTGGGGTACTTTAATTTGCTAATGAATTTCTCTTTCTTTCTGCACAAAGTCCAGGCAACTATTAAAAAGAAAAGAACTAAACCTTGTATCTCTGGGGTAAGAGAACTCACTCTCTCCTCCTTCTTTTCTCAAACTCTCCATGGGAGTCTGAGAAATAAAACTTCAAATCCCAAGTCCTATTTGTCACATACTTAACACACACAATCTCATTTAGTCCTAAAAATAATCCTGTGAGTTAAGCATGACAATCTCATTTTACACATGAGAGACTGAGGAACTCTGTATCATGCACTTAGAAGCAGGGCAATGATTCGACTTCATGCTATAGGACTAGTTGGCTTCTTAGACAACCATCAAGTCCAAAGGAATTCCATTTTCTGCTTTAAGAAAAGTTCCCCTTATTACCACAATTCATGTCTGACCAATTGCTTCCTTCCAAACTGGATATAAAAATATTGAAGTAATTACTGGAGAAATTGAGCAAGAGCATGTAAGAGGCCTGCTCTGCCAGGGTTCTGCAGAAAAGTATAAGAGTTCCTATGGGCAGGATGCCTGCCTACTTGCCTGGGCCCCTCCATCAGAACAACAGTCTCTAAACCCTGGCATTAGAAATGAGCAGCCACCTGTCTGGTAATCTTGGAAGCAACCTGTGGCTGCGTTCGGCCTGACTGCCTGTGGATTACAGGTCAAGGAAAGGTCCGGGAGTAGGCTCAACCTACTCCTGACACAGGGAATACAATCCCACCCATCCAAGCTCCCAGCCTATGGAAACAGAGGTTGGAGGTTACAGTTCACATCCTCTAGGCAAGATAATTAAGACTGCAGACGGGCCCTGGCCGGTTTGGCTCAGCGGTTAGAGTGATGGCCTGCGGTCTGGAGAGACCCAGGTTCAGTTCGGTTCCCGCTGAGGGCGCGTACCTCAGTTGCAGTTTGTCCCTGGCCCTGGTTGGGTCCTGTGGGGCCCTGGTTGGGTCCTGTGGGGCCCTGATTGGGTCATGTGGGTGGCGACCGCTCGATGTGTCCCTTTCACTTCGATGTTTCTCTTTCTCTCTTCCCTCCCATTCTATCTGAACAAAATATCAATATCAAAAAATGTCCTCGAGTGAGGATAAAAAAAAAAAGACTGCAGACTGCTCCCAGAGGAAAGGGACAACTTATTGCTAACTGGTTATATTTCAGCCCTCCAGTCTCCAGGGTACACACATTATATTCCCACAAACACCTACCACCCCTGGAAGAGCCCAGGAGGATCCTAGGGCAGGAATATGGAAGAGGAACTGAACACAAGGGTGACAACTTACTGTGGGTTGACCCTCGTTAATGTAAACCATGGTTTAGGCTGCTCTATCTAACCTTCCCAAATGACTTCCTGAAATAGGAACCATTCATTATCCCATTAAACGGAAGAAATGTTAATCCATACTCAGTTGAGAGTGGTTCTGTGGAAGACGTGTGAACTGAGAGATCAGCTCACTGTCCCACAGGAGGCCTCATCATCTGTTCCCCAAACTTTAGTGGGTTACTCTGAACTGCCTTGTGGTCTCCACCAGAGTTAGCAGGGCAAAGGTTGTTCCAAGCTCTAAGCACTCAAAATCCAAAACTTCTTGAGTCTTGGGCCAGAGCAACGAAGTCTCCAAGGGCTTTTCAGGTTGAGGCCAAGGGGCCTGCGACTTCCCCATAAGGTCCGGCCCGGCTTCCAACATGAATCTAAAGGGACTCACCTCCCAACCTCTCACCCCCATCCAGCCAGGAACCTCTGTTTGGGATTAGGGACTCTGATCCGGAATAGGTTGGCTGGCTGTCGTGGAAGAGGGCATGGACGAACGTCCGGGGGGCCCTGTCGGGGAAATCCGGGAGAGTTCCAGTCCTTGGACTGGCGCCAACCCGACTCCTTACCGAGCAGCGGGGACTCCTCTGGGCAGGCGGGCAGCGGCAGTGCTGTGATAGGGGACACTAGGGCCGAGGTCAAGTTGTTTGAGAGGCCGGGGCGAAAATCCGCCTCTGGACTGGAATCTTGACCCCGACGCGGCTCGGAGGAGGCGTCCACAGGCGACGGAGGCGCTGCCCCTTGCGGCCGGAGCTCCTCGGAGGGCTGCTTGATGGCAGCGGCGCCGCTCGAGCCAGCTTGCAGCGGCGTGGGCACTCCGACCAGATAGGGCAGGCGGCTCAGGTCGCGGCCAGCCAGGTAGTAGACGAGGGTGACGCCAAGGTGCAGCGCGCAGACGGCCACGAGTAGGCGGCAGGCCCGCTGCAGGGACGCGCCCGGCATCGCGGCGCTGCCGCCCAGGAGCGGCTCCCGGAACCTCATCTTCCCGCCGCGGCTTTAAGAGGCGGGTGGGTTACAACGGGTAAGGCGGCCCGCCCGCGGGCCGCCGGCCAGGCGCTGCCAGACCGCGGGAACTGGGGGAGGGGCCGTAGGGGAGTCGAGGAGCGCGGCGCCCGCGAACAAACAGCGGAACGCCGACTCGCGCCGGCCCGGCCGCCGAGCGCTGAGAAGGGAGCCCGAGGCGCGGGCGGGGGCGGGGCGGGGTCGCCGGTGTGGGCGGGGCCGGGAGAGGAGTTTTCAGGGTGAGAGCGCGAGGGCGGGGTCTTCGGAGCGCAGGGTGGAGGGGCGGGGCCGAGCTAAGGGGGCGGGGAGCTGGGAAATTGGGCTGCAGGGGGCGGAGCTGTTTGGAGGGGGGCTGCGGGCAGCCCCAAGGCGAGGTGGTTTCCTGGTTCAGTATTCCGACTCCAGGGACCTGCAGCGAAGCGCCGTCCTCCTGAGCCTAAGTCGTGGGGGCTTCGGTCACTAGCCAGCCGCGCCTCCACCTCCTCCGATCCACTCTCGAGAGGCGCCGCCACTTCCTGGGGTGCTCAAGGGCTAAGATGTGGGTCTGGGCCTATGGCGCAATGGCAAAGAAGAGGGCGGAGAAAAGGGCAAGCAGGTCATTGTTTAGAGGGGTTGGGGGCCACGGCGGTGTTCCAGCCGGTGGGCCTCCGTAGGCCTGCGGGGTCTGGGAGAGGGGTACAGAGAGGTTGTCCCGGAAACGGGCTTCAACACCGGGCACAAGGTGGGGCAGCTGCGGAGGGATTCTCAGGGACATTCGAAACTCCCTCTCTTAGGCCGTCTAGGTCCCTCTACGGATATGGGGGCCCAAGGAGAAGACGTGGTGCCCTGCGGAAAAGAAAGGGGATGAGTCTGCGTCTCTTGAATAGCCCAGGCTATGGGATCTCAGAGGCCTGCCCAGCTCGGTTTAGGGTTGTGTGTTTTGGGGGTGGGGGGCTCTTCTAGCGCATCCCACCCCACGAGGATACACGCTTTGGGAGGGAAGCAAAGAGCCTTAGTAACTCCCATGCCAACATGCAAGAGGAGAGCAGCCGGTTTTATTTACAATCTACACGGGCCTGGACACAATCCTATGAAGTAGGAATTGTCCCATTTTACAGATAAAAAGAGTTCAAGGCTCGGGAAGGTTAAAAAGTTTACATAAGCCCTGGCCAGTTTGGCTCAGCGTTGGAGCTCGGCCTGTGGACTACAGAGTCCCGGTTTCAGTTCCCGCTAGGGGCACGTACCAAAAAATAAAAAAGATGAATATTTTAAAAAAAAAGCTTGCGTAAGATCCCACAGTTGTTGAGAGGCAGAGGCAGAATTCTGGCTCCTAACCTTTTATTTATCACATGTTTATCCTTTGTTGATTTGCAAGTAAGGGCTGGAGGCTGTGTGAGTGAGAGGCTTAGGCTCTCAAGAGGCTTGGTTCAAATTTGACCCAGAGGCCAGTGCTCAGACCCACCTAGTGCCTGAATGAACCAGGAAATCTCACTCCTGAGAAGGACTCAGGGAGGTGCTGTCATTTATGTGGATGGAGAAGCTGAGGGCTCTGGCAACCAACTCTGCAGTGGGGAGAGTGATAATGTAGATTGAAAGTTTATTAAATGCCAGTCAGACACAAGCCTAACTGCTTTACACGTTTTATCTCATTTAATTCCGGCAACACTGTAAAGTAGGCAGTTGTTACTGTCTCCATTTCACAGATGAGAAGACTGAGGCTCAGGAGTTGCCCCTTGGTTGTGATCCTACAGAATCTACTTTCTTTACTTGGCTTCCTGGACAGCAGGTTTTCCTGATCTTCTTCATTTTACTGGCCACTCTTGTTTCTTAGATGGGCTTCTCCTCCACTTCCCCAGTTGTTGAAGGCCCCAGGCCATAGTCCATGTTGCTCTTTTCTGTCTATACTCACTCCTTAGGGTTGATTTATAATAGCTTTATGCTGATGACTACAAAATTTCTGTCTCTAGCCCAGACCCTCAGACTAATATTCAATTGCCTATCATACTGGCATTTCAAACTCAACACATCTTGTCCCCCAACAACCTATTCCCTACATTCTACTCCCACTCTTACCTACCTCAGAGAATGGCACCATTGTTCATCCAGTTCTGGAACCCCCAAACCTAAAAGCTGTCATCAGTGTACCTCTCTTACTTTCAAATGCCATTTCCAAGCCCTCAGCAAGTCTTGTCAGTGCTACCTTCAAATCATCAGAATTCATCACTTGCTAACTCTGCTGTAACCATTCCAAACCAAGTCACCATCATCTTGGCCTGGATTATATAGTAGCCTCCTAGTTGGTCACCCTGCTCCTACCTCCTCCATACCCCCTCCCCAATCTGTTCTCCAAAGAGCATCCAGGAAGATCTTTGTCAGTATAAATGAAATTATGCCATTTTGTTCAGAACAAAGTTAAAATCCTTAAAAGCCCTGTCTAATCTGGTTCTTATTTCTCTTCCCCGCCTTTATCACTCCCTGTCTACTTTAGCCACACTAGCCTAATTGCTATTTCTTGAACTTGCCCTATTCTTGCCTTGAGGCCTTTGTACTTGGCTGTTCACTTAACCTGAAATACTCTTCCCTCATATTTCATTCAGATCACTCAGGGGGTCTTCTTACACCACCCTTGTAGAATAGTCCCTCACCCAAATCTGCTTAAGCTTCTTGATTTTCTTTTAGAGCAGATATCACTACCCAACACTAGACATTTATCTATTGTTGTCTCTCTTTCTCATTAGAAGATTAGCTCTTGTTCACTATTGTATCCTCAGTTCTTAGAACTGAACCAGGTACATAGTTGGCACTGAGTAAATGTTTATTAAAATACCTATTAAATGGCCCAGCCAGATGGCATGGCTCAGTGGGATGATCATCATCCCATGCACCAAGAGGTCAGGGCACATGCCCAGGTTGAGGGCTCAATCCCCAGTAGGGGGCCTCCAAGAGGCAGCCAGTTGATGTTTCTATCTCTATCCCTTCCTCTGTATCTAAAAAAAAAAAAAAAATCAATAAATCCTGGCTGTTTTGGCTCAGCGGTTGGAGTGTTAGCCCACAGACTAAAAAACATATATTTTAAAAAATATCTATTAAATGAATGTTTATGATTGTCTTGATAATATGGGAAGTGGAGAAGGAAAGAACTATTATTATTTTAGAACAAAAAAGTCAAGAGTTGTTTTTTTGTTTGTTTGTTTTTTCTTTATTGATTTTTAGAGAGAGAAATGAAAGGAGAGAGAGAGAAAAACATCGATGAGAGAGAACATTGATTGGTCGCCTTCTGCATGCCCCCACTGGGGAGTTGGCCCACAACCTAGGCATGTGCCCTTACCAGGAATTGAACCAGTGACCTCTTGGTGCATGGGTTGAAGCTCAACCACTGAGCCATACCAGCCAGGCAAAAGTCAAGAGTTGCTTACCAGAGAATTGGTGAGGATGAAGCTGACCCTACCAGCCTATATGTATGCCTAGAGGGAAATGCCTAGCCGATGAGTAAAGATGGGTCAGATTAGCCCCTGCTGGAAAATGAGGGGAGGGGAAAATGGAGATGTATCTTCCATATGTCTAGGTAATGGCCAGGAGACAGGATTGAGGGGAGGTTTGGGGTCACTGACCTGTCCCAGGACCCTTTCTGGCCAGGAAGTGAGGAAAAGGAACAACACTTGCTCTGTCCCTCAGGAATATGCAGAGTCCACTGAGGCATGAACCCTAGCTTCACCAGCCCCTATCCAGAGGTACTTAAAATCAGTACATTTTTTGCTTCAGAAAGATCCAGATGGTCAGAAACCTTCAGGACAACATTATCCAGCTGTCCAACATGAACTAATGTTAGAGAGACAGACAGACCCAAGGCAACCTTCTCCAGCTCTTTCCACTCACCTTTGTCCAGATGAAACAATCCCATAAGAGAGACACTCAGAGGAGGAAGTTACTTTGATGACTGGCCAAAAGTTGGAATCTGGATTTGGTAGTTTGTCCATCCCATGCTGATCTGCCCAGACTCACGAAGCTCTCTGCTTCTCTCTGCAGAGAGAATGACAACTGGTGAGTGACATTTCCTCTGCTCTTTCACAGAACCCTCATCTGCACCTGTCAGTTTACATTTCTGTTTCACTCTAGTAGATCACAAGGGCATAGAATAGTGCCTGGCACATGGTAGATAGTTATTTTAGTTACCTATTGTTGAATAACACACAATCCCAAAACTTACTGTCTTAAAACTAACAATTTCTCACAACAGTGTAGGTTTCTGTTCTGCTTCACGTAGTGTCAGCTGGGCACTGGCACAGTTGAACATTCCAAAATGGCCTCACTCACATGGCTGGCAGTTGGTGCTGGCTGGTGTCTGGGTCAGAATGGGTTGTGGGTCAGGGACCTTTGTTCTTTACATGGACCTCTCCACAAAGGCCTCTCCACGGGGCTGCTTGGGTTTCCTCACAAATTGGAGGGTGTATCCCAAGAAGGAGCATTTCAACAATAAAAAGATGTAAATTCCTTAAGGCCTGGCCTTAAACATCACTTATGTGGGCATTTTAGTTAAAACAAATTATAGGGCAGTCCAGATTCAAGGGGAGTAGAAATAAACTCCACTTCTTGATGGGAGAAGGGGTAAAAAAAAAAAAAAAAAAAATGGCAGCCCAGTGGCCACAAATTATCTGTATTCCTCCCACATGTAAGATACATTAATCTCCAAAGATTCCCCAAAGATGCATCCCATGAGGACTTCAGAGTCTATCTCACCATCTGAATCAGGCCTAGGTATGGTTCCTCAGGTTCAGGGAACTACGAACCATAAAAGAAAGTACCTTCTTCCTTTTACTCTCTGAGCAATTCAATCCAAAAGCCACTAATTACATCTGCAAAAACCCTATCTCCAAATAAGGTCTACTTTGAGGTTTGAGTTAGACACGAATTTGGGGGGTACACTATTCAACCCCTTACAGTGATCATGTAGAAAGAGCCTGCCTAAGAATTAAGCCAACAAAGAGACAAAGGGGATGTGTCCTGGGATGGCCATATCAGCCTTGCCCTGGCAGACTGATCAGTATGTGAACTAGAAAATCCCTACTCCTGCCCCTG